GCGAGTATATAACAAACTCTGTATTTTGAGTGGAAATGTTAGGGGGTCGTCTTATATGCTGGCAAATATGGTATATGTATATATATACCACAAGCATACATAATCAAATTGTTGCTATTATTATTATGAACAAACTGTTATTAGATCAGTTAAGAATAAGAAAAATAAATTTTTATTTTACTTTCACTTATTCCTTCTCTGATGCTCTTCCTTTCTTTATGTAGACCCAAGTTTCTGACCTATATCATTTCCCTTCTCTCTAAAGAACTTGTTTTAACACTTCTTGAAAGGCAGGCCTGCCGGCAACAAATTCCCTCTATTTTTTTGGAGTGGGGGGGTCTGAGAAAATCTTTATTTCCCATTCACTTTTGAAGGATAATTTCATAGGGTACAGAACTATAGGTTGGTGGGGGTTTTTTTCTGTCAACACTTTAAATATTTCACTCCTCTCTCTTCTTGCTTACATGGTTTCTGAAGAGAAAATAGATGTAATTCTTATCTTTGATTTTCTACAGGTAAGGCGTTTTATTCCCTCAGGTTTCTCCAGGATATTTTTTCTTTATCTTTGATTTTCTATAGTTTGAGAATAATAAGTAGTTTTTCCCTGGCATTTATACTGCTTGGTATTCTGTCAGCTTCCTGGATCTGTGGTTTGGTGACTGACATTAATTTGGGGAAAATTCTCAGTCGTTATTGCTCCAAATATTTGTTTCTGTTCCTTTCTCTCCTTCATCTCCTTTAGATATTCCCACTACAGGTATGTTACACCTTTTGTAGCTGTCCCACAGTTATTGGATATTCTGTTCTGAGTTGTTGTTGTTTTTTCCCCCAGTCTTTTTTCTCTTTGCTTTTCAGCTTTGGAGGTTTTTATTGAGATATCATGAAGCTAAGAGATTCTTTCCTCAGCTGTGCTGAGTCTACTAATAGGCCCATCAAAGGCATGCTTAATTTCTGTTGCAGTGTTTTGACCTCAAGCATTTCTTTTTGGTGTTCTTAGGACTTCCATCTCTCTGCTTACATTGACCACCTGATCTTCCACACTGTCTACTTTACCCATTAGAGCCCTTAACATATAAATCATAATTATTTTAAATTCCCTGTCTGATAAGTCTAACATCCCTGCAATGTGTGAGTCTGGTTTTGATGCTTGCTCTGTGTCTTCAAACTGTGTGTGGTTTTTATTTATTTATTTATTTTTGCCTTTTAGTACGTCTTGTAATTTTTTTTCTGGATAGTCAGACATGATGTACTGTATAAAAGGAACTGCCCAGCACTGATTCCCAGGGAAGTTTATGCTTGTGGGTTTCTGCTCCAATAGTTATGATTCTCCACATTTGCCTGTCCCTCTCTCTAATTTGGGAGGCAGTGGTTTGCCTTGTGACCTCAGTTCTCTTGTAGATCTAAGAGAAGTTGTTGATGGTTTCAGTTTGTTTAGGCTTTATTTGTTAGGACATACTATATATATATATATATTATATATATATATATAAAATATATATATATAAAATATATATATATTACATATATATAAATTATATATATGTATAATTTTTTTTAGCTGCTCCATCCTGCCACCTGTTGGCAGCTTAGCGGCAGCTCAGCTTGGGCCGTGAATTGAACCGGCAACCCTGTTGCTCAGAGCTTGCACTCTTGAGCCAGCTCTTAACCAACTGAGTCACTCGGCCGGCCCCATACTGCATATATTTTAATGGATGGTGGTATAAAAATATAATAAATGGAAATACTTTAAAATAGAGTCAGAGGGCCGGCCGAGTGGCGCGATGGTTAAAAACTCTCTTGGGATGCCAGAGGGCCCTGGTTCGGATCCCACATATGAGGGCCAGTGACACTGCCCTCTACAGCTAAGATGCTGAACAACAGCTCAACCTGGAGCTGGGCTGCCGTGAGTCGCCGGCGATGGCTTAGGCTGCAGCCCCTGTGGCAGTGGGTTGCCATGGGCTACCATATGTAGCCAGCAGCCAGCGTGAGCGGCCAGCAGCCGCAGTGAGCGGCCGTCCAGAAGCCGGCGACTGATCTGCCTCACCCAGGAAGAGCGCAATGATGGTGCCAACTTGGGCCAGTGAAGCGACGTCCTCCACAACTAGACTGAAGAACAAAAGGACAGCAACTTGTCTGTTCCCCTTCCCCCAATTCCCCAGCACTGTTCCCATCCCCCCAACTCCCCAATTAAAAAAAAAAATCTTAAAAAAAAAATAGAGTCAGAGCTACCATTTCAGAGGAAATGCCTTGCAGGTCTTATACCTTAACAAACCTTTGGAATATTAAATCAGGGCAACATAACCCTTGGACTTGTCCTAAAACAATACTGTATCTCATAGATAACAAGAAAGCAGATATTATGACTACAGGACTGATGGCTACTAGACTGAAAATTAAAAACATTGTTTAGAATTAGTATCACTATGTTAGCTTATCTGCACCAATAGAAATGCCTTCCTTCTACTAATGTAATTGTTTCTGTTCCCTTTCTCATAAACACCTTTTACCCTTGTCTCCTAATCTGAACACTATTTGGGTTTCTGCCTAAATAAGTGCTTTCCAAATAGCTACTCTTATTATTTTTTTAAAATCTCAAATAAATGCTTGTTTCCTCTCACTTTGGCCTTTTATTTTTAGGTTATCGCTGGTATTAGCAGTGTATGGGTATACCACGCATAACTAATCCCATAATATGGGAGATTTTGATAGTTTCAGGTAAGGCTAGACTATATATATCTGATTATTTCGTTAGAATAGATTCTTATGAGTAGACTTGAAGCTCAAACTAGAGCCAAAGTATTAAAATTTGGTGTTATCCACGGGTAGGCTGATGGACATCAATGACATCCTGTCTCGCCCTCACCCATCAAATTCTCTCTACACAAGCATGTCCATTCTGGACCTCCCCAGAGCCCTGCTTTTCCTAGTCCTTTGCCTACTGCCCAAGACCGTCTTCTGTCAGGATTGGTGAGCCCTCCACAGGCAGGAGGCGCTGTAGGATACGCAGCGGCTCCAGAACGACCAGGCGCCGCTCTCCCTCGGCCGAAGCTCCGCCCCGCCCTCCCACGCCCCTTGGCCGCTGCCTGGTTTGGGGAAGTGTTTCTAGGAGACGGCGCTGGCCGGCTGCGCCTGCGCGGTGGGCGCTGCCGGGGGCGAGCTGACGGGCGGTGGCTCTGGCTCGCTGAGAGAGTTCCTGCTGGGTCTGGGTCGCTGTCGCCGCCCAGGTTCTCGCTCTTGATGGTACATCTGTAAGGCGGGCTGCCGGCAGACGTCTCCTAGCGATGGAGCACATCCGTACGACCAAGGTAGTCTGGGCGCGGGAGAGCCGTTTGCCGCCGGCCCGGGTCTGACCCGTTGGAGGCGGGAGACCGTGAGAGCTCGGTTGGCCGGAAGAGGGCTGAGGACCGGTCAGGCGGGGGCCTGGCTCCGGACCGGGGGGGCCTGCCGGGCCTAGTGTGAGAGGCAGGGGCAGTTTGGGCCAAGGTGGGTGTGAAGGCCTCCTGTACCCACGGAGGAGTCTCGCGTCCAGTTCAAGGTGTGGGGCTGCAGTTGATTTGGGCTGCTTGAGGTTAAGTCCCCTGAAATTGGTCGTCGCTCTTTCAGCACTACTTTCTTGGGCAAAATTGGGGCTGCCTTTAGCTGCGGGGCCTTTCAGCCTTTCGCCGCCTTAGATACCGGAAAACCAGTGGGTCCACAAATTAGCATTACGATGTTGTGTAAGCTTTTCCTTGTTCACGTGTAATTGTCCTGTGTCACACAAAGTCTTGATGCAAGTTTTGGAGGAGCTGAGATCTGCAGTCGCCTCCACCTTACTTGATTGTCTCGGTCTGTAGTCACCTAGATTTGGCGTTTCCGTCTCTGTGCTTAAACTTTATTATCTTTAGAGTCAGCAGAGGAGTTACCGAGAAGGGAAACTGTTATTCCGTGTTTTAAGGTGTCTGATGGAACTGTTCTTCAGTTGAGCTTATTAAATTCCATGCTTAATTTTTGTGTGTGAAAGGCATTTGTTTTGAGAACATATGTTGTTATGATTCCGTTACAAATGTTAAAACTGAAGGAAATTACAAAATATTATCAAATTCTTTTACCAACGTTTAAGTTAGACTTCAACTTTGGGAGGAAGAAAACATAGTGACCAGAAGAATTAAATAACATGATTTTAAGATCGCTGGGAAAAGCGATCCCACTGTGAATCTTGACTCTTGGCATTTTGCTGAAGCCATCCTTTAATTGCTGCTCATTCTAGAGTTACCGTTCATTTAGGAAAATAACAGCCGTGCATCATCTTCATTTGTTCCACAGAGAATTTGAGACCTATGTCATTAAAATGTTTCACAATCCTTTTTAGGGTGTACGTGGATTTTTATTACGGCTTGTTTTTAATGTTGCATATACTTTACCTAATAAAATTGAAGATGCTAAAAACTAACCCCTTTTTACAAGGTTTTTTGTTTGTTTATTTGTGTTTTAATGAGAAGAAAGATAAAGTAATTCTAGAATTCAAGTTGCTGGCCCCTAAAATTTGAAAATAGAAGGGTGATTAAGTAAATAAATAACCAAACTAGTAGAAGAGGTAGAGGTGGAAAGGAGGACGAGAGTAGGCATCAGATCAGGTGCTTGTCCTGGTTCCAGGGTTCCAGATGTGTGCTGTGTAGTAGCTGTGTGCACATGACTTCCTTCTGTACCAGACTGAACCCCCTCTTTGCATCTTTCATGATGCTTGCAGCAGGGCGTAGCACACTAGCGAAATAGTAAAAGTGAACTGAGTGTATCAATTAGAACAAGCCCTAGTCCTAGGTGACTGGTAAGAGTGAACAAAATATTGGAAAATCTTTCGGATGCCTTGCGTTGTTTTAAGCCTTTCCACTTTAAATTTATAATTGATGTATATCTTTGTTTTTATTTGTGTAGTTGTAGCTCCTCTTATTTCCATAAGATTATTGCCAGTGACGTGTACTTGGTCTTGTATTCCTCTTTAACTACCAGATGATGGACTTTTCTTTACTTAATTTTCTGATTTAGTCTTACCTTTTCATAGTGGGTCCATGCTGGTGGGTTAGTTAAGGTCCTTTTGTGATTTCTTAAAGACTAAAAGATTTCTGACTGTTTTCTGTTAAAATTCTCAAGTGTGCTCCTTTATTACTTTGGATTATTTTTCTGGCATTGGACCACTACTACCCTGGAGTAATCTTAAGTGGCTGTCTGTAGACTGCAATTAAACATGTGCTGGGTGCCTGTTATGTCCCAGGCACTGTACATATACTGGGTACACACCAGTGAGCACAGTGTATTCTGATAATTGTGTGGACTCTAATATTTTCTTAAATTATAACATTCTTTTTTTTAGGAGGAGAATAAAAATGTTTATTATCTTGACGTTAGTGATGTATACATGAATGTATCCATGTGTCCAAACTCATTAAATTGTACATTTCCAATTGTGTGACTTAGTGCATATCAGTTGTATCTCAATATATCTGTTTAAAAAAGCTTGTTTATTGATGTTTTCAGATTGAACATTGCAAATAACCTTTAAGAAACTATCACTTAAAAAACAAAGAAACTGTCTCTTGTCAAGTTTTTGTGTAATAGTAAAGAAAAATAACGATAATTATTTGAAAAGACTATTAAAATATTATTTCCACTTCAAACTATTGGGCTGTTGGAAAAGTCATGATGTATTTTTTCTATGAAATTATAACTTATTCTTAAAAGATTGATTTGAACACAGCCAAATTTTTGTTTCTATTATGTATAGCCTTCACCTGGACATAGTTAATTTGCTGCAAAAATAATTGTAAATATTTCAAACTAAAAATGAATTGCTTTGAGTTTATTTAGCTGTTTAGAATTCTATGTAGTTTAGGCACTACGTTCAAGAATTGACTGTGGAAAGAAAAAGAAAAAAGAAAGAAAACAAAAAAACAAAAACAAACAAAAAAAGAATTGACTGTGGAATAGTACTACGTAGTGATTCGTTACATGTTCAGACAGCTCTATCGGTGACCCTTGAACAACATGGGAGTCAGGAGCACTGACTCCTGTGCAGTTGAAAATATGTGTATAACTTTTGACTCCCCCAAAACATAATCATCCTTGGTATCCAAGGGGGATTGGTTCCAGGACCCTTGTGAATACCAAAATCTATGGATGCTTAAGTCTCTAATATAAAATGGCATAGATCAATACTTACAGTCGGCCCTCTGCATTTGCAGACTCCCAACCATAATGGTGCTTATTAAAAAGCATCTGAGTATAAGTGGGCCTGTGCAGTTTAAACCCATATTGTTCAAGAGGCGACTGCATTTAAAAAGTGGTAATTGCCATTTATTGAGCAACTATATGCCAATGTAGCAAACTATACAATATTATTTCACAATATTTATCATTTAAAATATGTTAGTTTATACAAAAGTGTCACTAATCTCTTTAATAACCCCACCAGTTGGGGTCATCTCCATTGACAGATGAGGAAATAGGCTTAGAAAGTGTAAGTAATCTGCCCAATTAGCTCATGAGGTTTGTCTAACTCCAAAGACTGCATAATGTCTTTTCCATTGCCTCTCTAGTTTTAATCTAATTGTAAAAATATATTAATATGAATTCAGAAATAAAGCCTAATAATTCTAAAAGCTTTGTCTTCCTCAAGAAGAAGGACATAAATAAATAAGTAAATATTTATGAGGTATTGTTTTTTGTATTGTTTATAGTGATTGGTTTTTTTGTTTTGTTTTTGCTTACCAGAGATTTATCAGATAAAGTTTTTTAGCTGAATACCAATTAAATGGTTTTATAGTTCTGAAATTTAGGAATAGGTATATCATCCTGTTTTGGTCACATTTGGTTTATTAACTATAGCGTCAATAAAGATGTCAAGTGTGAATTTGAATTTCTGAAAGAGCATTTCCAAGCTGTATTTAGGACCAGTGTAGCTACTTCCTATCACTGTGAGCTCTAATTTTGCCACATGAAGTAGTCTTGCCAAGAAACAATGGAAATCTACAGAGACAATTCTTCTTTATGCAGTCTTTCTCCTTTCCCTGCTAGGCTCCAGTGCTTTGGCTGACATCATGTATTGATGTAGAATTTTGTGCTGTTTGTGAGTAGAACTTGACTGAATGAAATGGAAGAATGTTTTCCTGAGCTCTATATGAATGACTGTTCCCTAGAGTTTGTTAAAGATTTTCCATGAAAATCTGACCCCGCTTAGTGTTCAAATTAAGTTATTCCAAAGTAATACCCAGTTTGTCTTAGCTTGCTCTCCCCTTTTTGTCATTAGAACGTGAGGTCATACATGTATGTACATAAGTATATGTTACCTATTAGAAAGAGGGAAGGAGATGCAAAACTAAGAATGGACGAAGAATAAGGAGAAAAGGGTATTATTTTAATTGTCTTGAAATATGAGCCAGTAGATTTTGAGGAGCACCTGAATGCCTTCACCACAAATTAGTAAACTGCCATTTTGACTCTCCCTAACGTTATCTCATTATACAGGTGAGAAAACTGAAACTTGCAGTGATTAAATAAAATAATTAGTCTTGCCTAAAACTCAACAGCTTGCTATCTAGTTCTCCTAAGGAAGAGGTGGATTTGGAGCTAGGAGCTTGAATCCTGGTCTTTCTGATACCAGTCGTGTTTTCTTTTTTTAAAGATTTTTATTGGGGAATTGGGGGGATGGGAACAGTGCTGGGGAATTGGGGAAAGGGGAACAGACAAGTTGCTGTCGTTTTTGTTCTCCAATCTAGTTGTGGAGGACGTTGCTTCACTGGCCCAAGTTGGCACCATCATTGCGCTCTTCTCTGGCGAGGCAGCTCAGTCACCGGCTTCTGGACGGCCGCTCACTGCGGCTGCTGGCCGCTCACGCTGGCTGCTGGCCACACACGGTAGCCCATGGCAATCCACTGCCACAGGGACTGCAGCCCACGCCGTCGCCGGCGACTCATGGCAGCCCAGCTCCAGGTTGAGCTGTTGTTCAGCATCTTAGCTGTGGAGGGCAGTGTCACTGGCCCTCATATGTGGGATCCGAACCGGGGCCCTCTGGTGTCCCAGGCCAGTTCTTAACCATCGCGCCACTCGGCCGGCCCCCCAGTCGTGTTTTCTTAACCATTACACTCTCCTGCCTCACAGAGTAATGGTCAAATCAAGAGATCTGAGTAGTGAGGTAGGTCAACGTGAATAGGAATGGAAGGGGCGATGGACTAGAGCAGCGGTTCTCAACCTGTGGGTTGCGACCCCTTTGGGGGTCCAATGACCCTTTCACAGGGGTCGCCAGGTACTCGTATGTGGGCGTATCTGCATGTGG